AGGAGCCCCAGGCTGTACCCGGAAAACTCGAAATTTAATATTTCGAATCCGTAAACTATCATTTGCTTTATAAATTCAATATTAAGTCATATATCATCTTGAAAGCTTGAAATTCCGAGTGACTACTGATGTTTGATGCGATTGTGGCTGAGATGGGACTGCCAAAATCCGATGGCTTTGTTAGAAAATCTTTTAAAAAATTACGGCGAGCTATGAAAAAGAGAAAAAAGTAGTACTGTATTTTATGAGGCTTACTCTATCAAAACGTTACTTGATCTCCTTCTGAGGACTGATATGAAAGTTTTAAGAAATCGTGGAACTTGACCATCTCAAAAAGCATGGGTCGCAGATTTTGGTTATTTTCTGAAAGATCATTGGTTGTTTTGCAGCAATTTCATAACGTTTAGAAAGAGGATGGAATGCTGCATCGAATGTTTCCAAAATCTATTAGAAATCTTTGCTCCATCAAATGTGGCGCCCGTTTGAAAAATGCGAAATTACTTTCGGAACGACCTAATATATTAGGTTGGTGCAAAAGTTCTGTCGTTCCCTTTTTAAAAATTTGTAACTCCGCGAAATTTCAACGGATTTGCTTAATTGTAATTTTATTAGAAAGAATAAGTCCTTCGCTTTCAAAAGCTATTCCGTGGAGCTTGTGTTTCACAGTGAGTGCGGCGATAAAAATGAAAAACTAAGACCATCTAAGCTTTGACCATTTTAAGTTAGGTCGCCAAAAATCTGGAACGCTGCAGAAAAATCTGAAATCGTCAGTTCTTATGTTTTTGGCCCTCCTTTTGCAAATGTGAAAAGTTTGTGCTGTTTGGACGTCTCTGTGAGAAGTTATGATTTTCGCGAAAATTGACAAATTAATTAATTTTGGCATTTTCCATAGTAAACTCGATATTCATAGCTTCTCACAGAGACGTCCAAACAGCACAAACTTTTCACAGTTGCAAAGGGAAGGCCAAAAAACATAAGTATTGACGATTTCAGGTTTTTCTGCAGCATTCCAGATTTTTGATGACCTAACTTAAAATGGTCAAAGTTTACATGGTCTTAGTTTTCCATTTTTATCTCTGCACTCAGTGTGAAACAGATGCTACACAAAACAAAGATTGAAAGCGGAAGACCTAGTCTTTCTAATAAAATTAAAAGCAAGCAAATTCGTTGAAATCTCGCGAAGTTACAAATTTTTGAAAATGAAACGACAGAACTTTTGCACCAACCTAATATATATTATATTAGGTTGATTCATAATTAATGCACGTTTTGAATTTCAACCGCAATAAGTCATACACTTTCCATTCTTATATAGGCTTCAAAGTACCATTGGATAGAGCAAAGCAAGCTCTACAAGATGGCACTCATGCCTTTGCACCATGCTCAATCCACGGAGAGTTCGAACTCAAATTCTAAAGATTTCCAAATGCCCGAAAAATCGAAAAAAATCAGATCTTCGTCCAAATAATTTCTACGGACCTCCCACTCGCTCACGTCAATACTATCGATATCTGATATCCATATGTGCGATTGCCGTATTTTTCACTTGACTAGAAATTGAGATATCGAAAATTTCCCTAATTTTCTCAAAGCAATGCTGAGCCGTTTTTGCATACGTGGTTCTATACCGCAAGCCTAAGTAAGTATAACTGTAGATTTTCAGCCCATTCCAAGCGGTAGTTTTCGAAAAATAGCGATTTCGGATTTTTTCGTTTCAGTTTCAGTGCTAAAATCGACATTTCTCGAAAAGTACCGTTCGAAATAAGCTGAAAACCTGCAGTTATGCTTACCTAGGCTTGCTGTATAGAACCACGTATGCAAAAACGGCTCAGCATTGCTTTGAGAAAATCAGGGAAAATTTCGTTTTCTCAATTTCTAGTCAAGGAAAAAATACGGCAATCGCACATATGGATATCAGATATCGATAGTATTGATGTGAGCGAGTGGGAGGTCCGTAGAAATTATTTGGACGAAGATCTGATTTTTTTCGATTTTTTGGGCATTTGAAAATCTTTAGATTTTGAGTTCGAACTCTCCGTGGATTGAGCATGGCGCAAAGGCATGAGTGCCATCTTGTAGAGCTTGCTTTGCTCTATCCAATGGTATTTTGAAGCCTATATAAGAATGAAAAGTGTATGACTTATTGCGGTTGAAATCCAAAACGTGCATTAATTATGAATCAACCTAATATATATATACTATATCGCAGAATCAAGGTATGATAATCAACATTCGGACTTCAAACCCCTTCAATCTCAAACGATTTCCTTAAAGTTGAGGGTTTTCGGTAAAACATTCGAATCCCCCCCCCCCCTTCTTTCCCCGAGATAGACGGAGAAGTTCTGTGGGAAATTCGCACTGATAGATGCTCTATTTTTGTCAGCGGATTTTCCTTACAACAAAGCAAATATTGTTAAAGGAACGCTTGGAAAAGAAGTTGGAGAGTACCCATTACTGTTGTTCGACCCAGTAAAACATGCGAAAGCAATTTTTCAACGTTCGAATAGATTATACAAATATAATTCGGAATAATACCAATTTTATGCAAAAAATGAAGGGCGTTGTGCGCCAATCTCACAATAGAGAGTTGTCAGCAATCTGGAAAAGTTATTTATCTCCTTTTTCAAAAAAAACATTGGTCCGGTTCGAACTATTGTTCCGTACACTATAGTAAATACATGAATGTACTCATTTAAAGTCTGTGTAACCTGATGAACGGAAACGCTAAAACAGTAAAGCTTGACTCAATCTACATATATAATATTTGTAATTTTTCAGAGATGGAAAGAGGCATGTTAAAACACTTTATTTCGAATAGCATCGAAAATAGAATCAAAAGAAACTTATTTTTTATAGGAGGGGTTTCAAAAAAAAAGTGTTTGGAACAAGTACCAATTGAGACATAAGAGTTGCATGGGAAGATGAAAGTTTTTGTTCTGCATCTACTGTCATCTACTTTGCGCTTACCGACTAAACTTCTGCGAGAGTTTGTGAATAATTCAATTCAAATTTAAAGATCGGGAAGAGTTAATTTCATCAAACTATCGTTAATGTAGCAATATCAAAATGCCATTCATACTCCTATTGTATGGCAAAACGAACAAATGCCACATCATTAGAACTCCTAGTCAGCGCAAAACATTTGACATCACTTCGTATTCTTAGTAAGCACAAAGCATCTAATATCGACCATTTCAAGCACTTGACATTATATAATTCGAAGAAAGGATGGTGCAAAATAGCATCAACATTTTTTAATCATTTCCTAGCTCTCAAATATGAGCAAAGACAATGGTTTTAACGGAGAGTACCGATTCGGAAACTGTATAAAAGTCGCGATTCATCTGCCTGTACATTCTATTCCTACTTGCTCAAGTAATGACTTCATGCGTTTTTGCTCATCTTCGCGCATCCTTTAGCAACTTAAACACTGAAACTCTAAGCTCTTTCCACTTCTGGCAACACGGGCACACTAGCAAAGTACCATAATATAGAAAAAGACTTGGAAATGCTGCGGTTTTTTTTTTGCGTTCTTCTCCATAGAGCATTTGGCGGTTGAAAAAACTTTCGCTGATAACAGTGGCGTACCCAGGATTTCGGCTCGGGGGGGGGGGGGGGGAGGCGACAAAAAATTTTTTCAGCTGAAGGTGCACGAAGTCAGCCACGCACTCCGAAAATTTTTTGGGCGAAAAAAATTTTCACAAGGCTGGAATAGACTTTTAAATTCGAATTTAAATTTTAAATTTTAAATTTTATTTGAATTATTTACGAGTGCAGACAAGTTATTTGCACAATTTTTTAACCCACGTAAGTAACTTTCAATAATTTTGCGACTTCTCGGGAGGGCCCCACCCCTCGGTACGCCACTGGCTGATAACGTGGTCCTAAGTTTCTCTCGATTGGGTGAGCTTTAAGGCTGTAGATGTCGGTTACAACTTGAGTGGACGGCCCCTAGGCTTTCAAATTCGAGAAGGTTGAAAATTTGGGAATGAACTTGCAAGGCGAAAATCGCAATATGAAGTGAAAATTGCGATTTTGTTTGTTCGAGAAGAACTGTATCGTTGTGAACTATCCGGCCATTGGCTACTGAACAAGCTTCCCTTACTGGCCCCTTCGAAAATATACTGTACTTTTTTGAACAATCAATTAAATGAAAATTTTGTCTTTTCTTGTTCAGCGTTTCACTCATCGTATTGAAGCACAGGCCTAGTGAGTGATTAATCTTAATTTCTGCTCATTTATCGACTTTTATGAGTTTGTGGCGCGTCAAAACTGAATTTTGGCAAAACTGAATTTTGCCAAAACTGCTATAATAGTGTGAAAATTCAACATCTCAGACAATTGATCGGAACATCCGCAGAACGTCTGGGAAAGTTCCGCCGGGTCACTTGAGTTCCCTAAACGTGCTGCGGAAGTTCCGAAGAATCCGAACCACAAAGCAAAAGAGTACATTTAATCGGCATTTGAACTTTACTCTGTTGACTGTAAGACTCACCTACTGTCTTCTGCACTACGGCTGACATGTTCGGTAATGCACTCTAGTTGTTGCCGAGGCAACATCACGAGACAACACATCCAAAACACTGCGGAAGTCCCGGCGTGTCAAAGTGCTGCGGAACCGCTAACATTTTTCGGAAGTTCCGCAGCGCTTTGTAAGAGGTCCTGTGGAAGTTCCCGTTTTCAGCTTTTCTACTTTTGCAATAGAAAACAAAATCCTGCGGAATAGCTGTAAATTTTGCTTGTTCCGCGGAAGTTCCGATGAGTTGTCTGAGGTGGTGTTTTCCTCATGTAATGCTCTGGAGGGTCTGACAGATTTAAAAAGATTGTTGAGGTTGCGATGGCATACAAACGCACATAGCTTTCGACTAATGCAAACTTTCTGGCCTGCAAACACCAAGATCATAAGGGCATGCCTCTTGTACCGTAGTTGTGTGCCATTGGTGGATGTTCCAGTACGAGATTGAAGCGGCGCCGGAACGGGGCTGGCACGACCAATGCTAGCGTAGACAAGCTTTTGCAGGACCGCTCACTTTTCCTCCGAAAGAATGCGTCACTTTGCTCTGCTGTTCTTACTGCTCTTCGTTTTGGCAATAACAGTCGAGGCACACAAAAAGAAAGCGAAATCAATTTGCTCAGGCATGTTTAAAAACCACAGAATAGCCAATCTAGAATGCAGAGAATTCTGCAAGATAGAGATGGTGAGTTTACCAAAGTGCTCGTAATTTTTACATTATAAGCAAAAAGTGTTCGAGTTTAGATTTGCCCACAAGGAGGATACTGCAAAGTGAAGCGCGGTCGTCCTCATTGTATGTGCAGAGGCTGTCCCGGCCGCAAAAATAAGATTTAACAAATTTACTCTACCTATCTTTTCAAAGCATCTTGAATCAGTTTGAAGTGAAATGAATGTGATGCAGTTGAGTCGATGTTTGACTATGTATGGTGGTGTTATATAAGCAAAAATCCAATAAGTGACCTACAAATGACCAGCTTTTATGGAGCCGCTCAGCCTCCTCGCTGTATTTCGGAAAACGAAACTTATGCTGCACGATAATCTCAGGCAATATGCAGCATTGTACATACCTAGTTCTTTGGTCGCAAAGTCCTTCGGCGTGTCCGTGCTGTTCGATTTCAAGAAAAAAAATTCCCCCGTGTCCTATGTTTAGGGTACTAAATATCCAATAAAAGCAAAAGAGGCAAGAAACAACGAAAGTCATTGGAAATGAGTGAAAAAAGTTTATAAATTGTCATAATTCTTATAAATAATTGATTATTGATTTATAAATAATCAATTCATGTTATTTTGTAACCTACGAGCCGTCAAGTAACGCTCATGGTGTGCAATGCGCTTGTTATATGAGTGACACGATGATATTTACAATTACTTCGCCAATCATTTTGTATGTTTTGAAAATATCATAACGAAAGCGCCAAAGTGGTGAAATCAGTGAGAATGATTTAATTTGTACTCGAATATAGGACAACTGAATAGAGACAATACGCATTCCGTGAGTAACAAAGATTACAAATCTTATTGTACACTCCTACAAATATATATCACTATCTGCGGCAGAGTCTGGAGTCTAGAGTGTTTATCGTAGTGTCTCAAATTGCAGCAAAACTACAAAGTTTAACATAATTTTGGTAGGTTCTATCAGTTGCATAGGTTTTTGAAAAGCAAGAACATCAACAAAAAAAACCAGTCCAGCGTGAGCTGATATATAGCTGATATAAATTTGCATATACAACCAAGTGCTTGGTTTTGCCATTTTCATTCATTTTGGCTCCAATGATTTGAGGGTTATCAGAGCATTCAAGTTTGAAGCGGGCAGCTTCAGCTCCATTACAGAGTGTATTCAAGTACATACAGTGACCGCCAAAAAGTTGCGGACAGACCCCTCTCCCTTTTTCATCACTCTTTTTCAGAGGGAAAACAAGGATGAAAAAATGTAATAATTGCGTGAGGTGATAGAGCTCTTCAAGCTCTACAATATGCACTTTGAGCTTTTTGAGAAGCATGTATTCTAAAAATTTTAAGAATCTTTTTCTAAAAAAAGTCCGAAAATGGCCGCGTCACAATGTCGCGGACAATAATTCTTCGAACGCAAAAATTTTCTTTTGAGTCCTATTTTGAAGCGGAAACACAAGTTATCCGGACGGGTAAGCATACTACTATACAGAGCTCGTCAAGAACTACACACTGGTTATGGTTGCTTCCCCAAAAAACGCCAGCTTGAGTTTTATTTTACTTTTTTCAAAAAGTAACTTCTAATTTCCTTTATCAAGCCAAATTTCTTCACACGGAAACCTGTTCAAGACATCCTAACAAAGCCGTCTGGATAAAATAGATGCTCTTTGCCATCCTCTATGCATGGAAATGTGCTGATGAGTTTCTTTGCTGAAAATGGCCCTTGGCAGTGCTTGCACATGACCCCACCTGCACCTCACCGCTGATTTGTACCGCTTTGCAGGCTTGTAACTCGGCCTGCAATCAATATTTGAGCCTGCAATTAGGCTCATTCGAAAGAACGAGACTTCCTCTACACGAAGGTATGCAAATGAGTTGAGTTTGAGAAATTTCAGAGATTTGGCGGATGGGGTGTAAAAGTGAAGCGTTAGAGGTGATTGGCGTGAAAGCTCTTTGAACACCAGGACAGTCTTAAAGCTTCGAAATGGATCTATTGCAAGAAAACTGACAGTTTTGAACTTCCAGGATAAAATTGGTAGCGAAAGGAGCTCTCTTCAACTTTAGCTGAAAAGTGCTTAGACTACAATTGAAGCTGCCCTCTACCACCCCATCCGCCAAATCTCTGAAATTTCTCAAACTCAACTCATTTGCATACCATCGTGTAGAGTCTCGTTCTTTCGAATGAGCCTAATTGCAGGCTCAAATATTGATTGCAGGCCGAGTTACAAGCCTGCAAAGCGGTACAAGTCAGTGGTGAGGTGCAGGTGGGGTCATGTGCAAGCACTGCCAAGGGCCATTTTCAGCAAAGAAACTCGTCAGCACATGTCCGATGCATAGAGGATGGCAAAGAGCATCTATTTTATCCAGACGGCTTTGTTAGGATGTCTTGAACAGGTTTCCGTGTGAAGAAATTTGGCTTGATAAAGGAAATTAGAAGTTATTTTTTGAAAAAAGTAAAATAAAACTCAAGCTGGCGTTTTTTGGGGAAGCAACCATAACCAGTGTGTAGTTCTTGACGAGCTCTGTATAGTAGTATGTTTACCCGTCCGGATAACTTGTGTTTCCGCTTCAAAATAGGACTCAAAAGAAATTTTTTGCGTTCGAAGAATTATTGTCCGCGACATTGTGACGCGTCCATTTTCGGACTTTTTTTAGAAAAAGATTTTTAAAATTTTTAAAATGCATGTTTTTCAGAAAGCACAATGTATGTGTTGTAGCTCTTGAAGAGCCCTATCACGTCATGCAATCCAAACATTTTTCCATCTTTGTTTTCCATCCGAAAATGAGCGATGAAAAAAGGAAGGCGGCTTGTCCGCAACTTTTTGGCGGTCACTGTACATACATACGTGGCCTTTTTTCGCTTCGGAACAAAACCAAACATGCCAGACTCTTATACTATGGTAATGGAGGCCGCTGATTTTGAAAATAAAATTTCCACTTTACTGTGATGCTTTTTTTCCAAAGTTTTCCCAGGTAAACCGTAAGAACTGCATTCCCGGCATTTGCCAGAAATGTGATTACAATGTCAAAAATTCTGGAAACACTCGTAAAAAGTTGTGTAGTAGAATCAGCGCGTGCGCAAATTTTTTGAAAAAAACTCTGTCAGATATTTTACAGTGGTTCTATATGCTGGAAGTTCTTACCGTTCCCACAGTAATGAAGAGTGATAGATGACTCTATTCGTACTGTAGATTCAAGTTGAACTCCCTCTACAGAAGGGTGCCTTAAGCTGGGCGAAAGGCATGAAAGCAAGGGGGATTAACGATCAAACAGTGCTCAAATTTTTTTAGGACGTCCTGTATACCAAATAATATCACCTTTATTATCATCAGAGGGTTTCTATACTCAAAACCGACTTACATAAAGAGTTCGAAACTCGTTATTATGCATGGAACTGTCTTATCAGCATGAATTTCTCTCGTATAAAACATGCCATGGAACCAAAAGCAAAATTAGGGAAATAGATGGTTTGGTAACCCTAGCGAGCAATTTCGAGAAACTACTTTCTTTTCTCTACCAACTTGTATCATTATGATATGACAATAATATTTGCCTTAAGTACTTTTCTTATAGAAGATTTCCCCTATTTAGAATATCCAAAGTAAAAGATTTTGTTGACTTGGGGAAGATTATTAGTTGTTCAAAATTTGGTGCAAGACTTAACCTATTAGTTACTTGAGTATCGCGCAAATTCTGAAGTGGTATTTTAATTCTCTTTGAAATCGAAATAAGGTTAGCAATCAAACTTTGCATGATGCTACATATAGTGATTTACACATTGACTGGATTTTGTGCTAGCACATGAAGCCCAGAAAAATCTTAGCAACAGGTGTTTGTGCTGTATCTAAAGATTATGTCTAATTTAAAGTCAACAGCAGATATTAGGTTGTCCGCAAATTAATGCCCGTTTTGAATTTCAATCGCAATAAGTCGTACATTTTTCACTTTTAAATAGGTTGCGAAGTACCATTCGATAGAGCAAAGCAAGCTCTACAAGATGGCCATTATACTTTTGCAGCGGCTCTCATCTACCTCGAGTTTCAAGCCAGAAACTAAAAAGACTCAGCAGCCCGAAAAATCGAAAAAAACTGTAACTCAGTTCATAAAAATCCCACAAAAATTCTTACTTGCTCTCGTAAACACTATCCACATAAGACATCTATATACGCCTTTCCCGTATTCCCCTCTGTTAGAAACCAGAAAAACGGAAATTTTCGTGCATTTGCCAAAGTAATGTGTGCTGTCCCCACATAGGTAGTTATATACCACAAGCCTGTAGAAGTACAGACTTAAATTTTCAGCTCTCTACAAGCTTTAGTTTTTGAGAAATACCGAATATAGCTTTCCCTAGTTAAGTGGTCCAAGTTAAAATTCAAATTTCTCGAGAACTAAAGCTCGTAGAGAGCTGAGAATTTTCGTTTATATTAGGACATTCCGAAAGTAATTTCGCTTTTTCCGAACGGGCGCCACATTTAACAGAACAAAGATTTTTGAGAGGTATTGGAGGCATTCGATGCACCATTTCATTCTCATTCTAATGGTTATGAAATTGTTGCAAAACATTCAATGAGCTATCAGAAAATAACCAAAATCTGCGACATATGCTTTTTGAGATGGTCAAGTTTCACAATTTTTTGAAACCTTCATATCAATCCT